CCATGACGTACCCAGTGTGTGTAGAGCTCGCTGCAGAGCGTGAGCTTCGGACGTTGCTTGGCGATGCAGTCACCCAGCGGGTTACGGATCCACTTCTTCTCTGCAGACGCATCCGTGCCGCTCTTGGCTTGTAGTAGAGCTGCAATGGAGCCCACACGCGTGTTCATACCAGTCTCCACTACAATACCACGAGCGTTGCCGGCGGTGATCGTCGTGGACGAGAAGACCATGTTACTCGCTGTCAACTTGGCAGGTTTGCCGGCTCCAGCGGGGTGGATCGGAGCGTTGTATTTCTTGGGAACATCCTCCGATTCGCCCGTCAGCAGCATCTCGTTACACTTGAGATCGACACTTGTGAACAGCCGAATGTCAGCAGGCACAACGTCGCCTGTGACGAGGATCACGATGTCTCCAGGCACCAGCTGCTTGCTGTCTACCACTTGTTGCATCCCGTCACGGATGACAAGCGACTGCAGACGAGTGAAGATGCAAAGATCTCTCGACATCCAACTGCAGCCGAAAGCTCGAGCGCACTTTCAACACTCTTTCCCCGCAAAGTTACCCCTAAGGACGAGACTTGTTTGTTCAGCTTCTCCTGAGTTTCATGGTCTCGGAGATGGGTGCATTCGCGCTTCAGGGACGATGTAGCAGACCTCTCGTCAGCATGAAAGGCAATTCTGGTTCTTTTGTGCAATTTCTATAATCACATTTTGTGGACCACATCGTTGAGAAGTCATTTTCCCAGATTATGTGGACCACAGAACGAAGAGTCGCATCTCCCGTGAGTTATCAGAAAAAGGAGCGGCAACCCATTTGTGACAACGATTATGCAGCGCACCGCCTTACCACCGCGAGCATACCGTCATCTACTGCAGCAACAGCAGACAGCCGGCGAAGAGCGATTGAAGTGCTCAACACTTCTGGTAACACGACCACCGCCGTAAAACTCGTAGCGTGCAGCCTGCTACCTGTCGTTGTACAGACGCAATAGTTGAGCGTCAGCGACGCAAACTTGTGTATCTAGACTCCACGACACAACGCGCACGCGGATTACGGCATTCCGTCGTGGTGCCATACGTGTATCACACGAACGCCGCACTTCAGCAAGCTGCTGTATCTTGTCCTCTGCAAAGTGCAAGGCTGCCTACACATGCGCGAGACGGTGAGAGTGTGACACTAACGTGACACAAGCATGGCGATGCGCGGTGTCTGTTTTGTATGTGGACGACCATCTCCTCTCGAAAGCCCATACTCCGCAACAATGACTCACCAACACACGTCGTTCTCACAGTAGCGGCAGCAACGCCGACCAGTGTATCTCGTTACAAATGGTAGTGCTTGGTGGCAACAGAATCGCCGCCATCGACGTGGGCAGTATTGCGCGACCAGCAGAATATGCATGGCACCGGCAAGCTGTCGGCGACAGTACCGACGACGTGAAGCTGCTAGTTTGTCGAAAACAGCGACGCCTTGGAGTAGAACGCTGGTGCCGACAACACTGGCGACAATAACTTGAACGTGACAGCATTGGTCCTGGCAACGCCGGCAGCTTGGGAGAGCGACATCGGGGCTGGACTTGAAAGCGACCGCATTACTCGTAGCAACGCCGACGGCATAGAGCTGGTAGCGTTGACACCGATAACACAGACAACATGAAAGTGGAAGATTTAGTGACGGCAACACCAACGACTTGAGAGTGGAAGTACTAGTGCCGGTAGAGCCGATGACGTGGTAGAGATGGCGCCAGCAGCGATAGCATGAAATTGGCAGCGCTGGCACCGACAACATCAATCGCTTGGGGGTGGCATTGGGGTCTGTGTCACCGACGACGTGAGCTTGGTACCGTTGATACCGACAGCACCAACAGCCTGGGCGTGGTAGCATAGGTGGCGGCAACGGCAAAGACTTTGAAGCGGCAGCAATGACATCAACAGCCAGGAACTGCGGTAATGTTTGCGTACACTCTGGATGGCACTTGGGAAAATGACCGTCCTCGGCTTGGGTCGACACTGATAGAAGGTGTACGAGTCACAACACAGCACCGCCAACACATAATCAGTGGCAGGGATCACATCATCAGTGGCAGGAACTAGTGTGATCTTGAGCAAAGCCTGCAGCTTGGTCGCTACCGCAATCACTGCTGTAGACGCAATTGCAACCGCGAACAGCCCCCACGCTAGCCTGCACATTCATAAGGTGGCTTCCAGATGAGGTCGAGGACGAGCATATATGTGGAGGCTCACACAGCTTCCACTCCTTTGAATGGCTTCTCAATGGACCTCATGGTGCCAGAAACGGTGGCTTGATCCATGTTGAGGGCTTGTTGCATCCAGGCATCTTGATCAGACTAGCGACAGCTGACGTGGCAGCTCTGGCATGGTAGACGCATTGGCGTCGTGGACTGGAGCCTTGACAGCAACTTGGCCTAGCTCTAGTTGATACACAACTTGAGCGAGCTTGATCCGTGCTCCTGGTTTCAGGAGTCAACCGAGGGAGACTTGAGTGTCGTGTAGCGCTTCGTGCAGGATCTTGACACAAAACACGCTTGGGGGCGGACTTCGGCTGTGTTGGGGCTAGTCCCAATCTTCAGCCCACAGCTGGGTGGACGAATGGACGACTGCCAATGCTGAAGTCGGTGTATGTAAATTGTGTGAGCTTCGACGCACAGAAGTAGGCGAGACTACCGAGGTGTCAATCTCACAAGATCGAGATATGACTACATGGGCGCCAAATCTCAAGCACGGTAGTGGTAGCATTTCAATGCGCTTGTTGTCTCCGAGGCAGATTCGCGAATGAGGCCGAATAATTAAACGGCGGATGAAGGCGAATGGACGGTGACCAACCACTTATCCACCACCGCTCTGCAGCCACCCCATCCGGGTTTCGTGCATGTCCGGGGCCGTTGTCAGCTACGCGCTCGTCGATCGTACTCACTTTGACGGATTCACACAATGTCTTTTCGTATGAAGTTTGAAGTTTTACCTTTCGCAGTATATTTTGATAGTAATGACTTGCCATAGTAAACGCAAGCATTACCACCATTATTCACTATATGAGGTCCAGCCGATCCCTCTTTTATCTTGGTCTACATTTTTCTTGCTGCTGATCCGTATACTGCCAGTTTGTATTCTCGAAAGAACCCGTCGCAGCGCAATCAGCAAACCCGGCCCAAATTGAGCCCTCCGCCCTCCCATAAGTGATAAAGCCCAGTCCGTAACCTCCGCCCTCGCATAAGTGATAAAGCCCAAATCAGCTATTCAGACTCAGATCCAGCCTGAGCATTTTACATGTAACATTGTAGCATTTTTGTAGCCACAGCAATATCGTGAGTACAGTCTCCTAGACGGCAGAGATTTGTACTTCAGCATCTAGGACGCCTACAATATCTCCATTTAACTGTGTTTCAATAAGCATTCATCAATGAGCATTCATGTTGATAAATTCATTAACCGCAAAGCTAACTACACTCGGTCTCTGCTCTTGGGGCTCGAGAACGAACTCACGCGGCAGTTTTTCCTAGTCTTAGCTGCCTTAACGCACGTCGATCCATACGCAATACACACTTTCGTCACCTTCGCTCCCAAGGTGACATTGTCGCCTTTTACTCACGCTTGAGTCCACGATGAGCTCCACCCGCTTCAAGCCTCTCAACATGATGGCGCACATGCCGGATCTCGAGCAAAATCTCCTCGAACCCGCTCTTCATGTGGTCCCAGCGAGCCTGCGCCCGGTCCTTCCGTCGCAAATAGGCCTTCAGGATCTCACCCCAGAACGCGTTGTTGACTGCAACAGCTCCGACCACAAGCCACTGATACCACGGAATGTACTCGAATCCAAAGATGTCGTCCATGATAACAGGGACGTTGCTCACGAGCACCGTCAAAATCACCGACATACACGCCGCCAACTGCATGTAGCCATTCGACAACATCCGTGCGAACACAGGCTCCGTGAAGTGACGCACCGTGTAGGCTCGCAGCACCTCCGTGAAGGCCAAACCCAAGAACACCATCGTCTGAGCTCGTCCCAGACCCGCTGGGACGCAGTCGTAGTCGCCTCCTTCACAGTAAACAGTCGAGTTCTCATACGACGTCATACCGGCCACTTCCTCGCCGAAAATGTACGAGCCGTCCGAGTACTGAGCAGCACAGTTGCCGTACACTTTCCAGCCATCGTCGATGCCTTCCCATCGACGACACGTCACGTCCGTGAAGTCCGTCCCATCTGGACCGCCGCCAGTATTGTAGATGTCGTCCGTCAGCAACACGCCGAAGTTCCAGTACAGTCCCAAGAGAAAAGTGGTCATAGCTCCAGCGAGAAGCAGGAACGCGTTGAAGAGCACGAGCAGCCACAGTCGACCGTGGATCAGCGAAGTCTGCTTGTGACGTGGTTTGTCTGCCATGATGTGTGGGTCGCCCTTCTCCAAGCTTAGAGCGACAGCAGGCATACCGTCCGTGAACAGGTTGAGCAGCAGAATGTGCAGCGCCTCGAGAGGAAGCGGGAACCCGCCAGCCACCGAGATGAAGATCAGGATGATCTCTCCGATGTTCGTGGATAGCAAAAACATGACAAACTTCTGGATGTTGGCGTAGATGACGCGGCCCTTCTCCACAGCCGTGACGATACTGCAGAAGTTGTCGTCCATCAAGATCATGTCGGACGCTCCCTTGGCCACTTCCGTGCCTGAAATCCCCATGGCCACACCGATATCCGCCTCCTTCAACGCCGGTGCGTCGTTGACACCATCTCCAGTCATAGCAGCGATGAGTCCTTGACGTTGAAGAGATTTCACGATCTCGATCTTGTCTTCGGGCTTGGCACGAGCGAACACCAACGTGCGTGACGTGATCTCGTCGATGTCAGCAGAGGGTCAAGTACACGTCTCCATTCAGACGAAGCTGCGTGCAGTCTGTCGCTGGAGCCTCCGGGTCCCGCGCACACTTATAGCAAATCAATGTTCTTGGCGATGGCAACAGCCGTAGCGAGGTAGTCGCCAGTGATCATCACCGTACGGGATGGAAGCAGCTCGTGCAGTGGCAATGGCATCGCGCACGCCGTCACGTTCCGGGTCGATAGACGCCACCAGTCCGAGGAACACTAACGGCTTGGACAAGGCTTCAAACTTCTCGTCCACATCGTCGCAGTCTTCCCCGAACGGCAATTCGTGCATCGGCTGGATAGCCACAGCAAGAACACGCAGCGCCTGCGACGATAGCGCGTCCACCGCCTCGAGAATCTCCTGACGCTGCACGTTGTTCAACGTCTCGAACGTGCCATCCTTCCGGCCGTACTGGGTGCAGTTGCGTAGAATGTAGTTCGGTGCGCCCTTCACGTTAGCCACCAGCTTGGGCGGCTGGTCACCTGGAAGCGCCAACGTATCGAACATCGCCATGCCATTCACCACAGGTAGGGCGTTCACTGTGACCATCATCTTACGTGATGAGCTGAACGGTACTTCCACTAGCCGAGGGTAGTCTTCCAGCAGACTATCTTCCCAGATGCCTGCCTTAGCGGCTGCAACGACCAAAGGCGCCTCGGACGAGTTGCCAAACGGAAGCCAACGTGGAGTCTCGCCGTCGTCCCCTTCCACTTGCTTGAGTTGCGTGTTACTGCACAGCACCGAGGCCATCAAAGTCGCGCGAACTTGCACATTGCCGGCCTCCGGTTCGCCTTGACTGCTACCGTCCGAAGCGAGGATAGAGCCTTCAGGTGTGAACCCCTTGCCCAGTGATTGAATACTCGCGGAAATCGCCCCAGAGCTTCACTGCAGTCATCTTGCCTTCCGTCAATGTACCCGTCTTGTCGGTACAGATGACTGACGCTTCGCCTAGCGTCTCCACTGACGCGAGTTTACGTACAAGCACATTCTTCTTGACCATCTCGGCCGTACCGGACGACAGACAGATAGTCACGACCATCGGTAGACCCTCGGGAACAGCACTCACGGCCACAGACACAGCAGCCATAATCATAGTCAAGTACGTGGGTCTGTCCGGGTGACGAGGATCTTCATTGCCGCGGATCATACCGACGATAAACACGAGGATGGCCACACCCACCGCGATGAGGCCCATGACGTACCCAGTGTGGTGTAGAGCTCGCTGCAGAGGCGTGAGCTTCGAACGGTGCTTGGCGATGCAGTCACCAAGCGGGTTACGGATCCACTTCTTCTCTGCAGACGCATCCGTGCCGCTCTTGGCTTGTAGTAGAGCTGCAATGGAGCCCACACGCGTGTTCATACCAGTCTCCACTACAATACCACGAGCGTTGCCGGCGGTGATCGTCGTGGACGAGAAGACCATGTTACTCGCTGTCAACTTGGCAGGTTTGCCGGCTCCAGCGGGGTGGATCGGAGCGTTGTATTTCTTGGGGACATCCTCCGATTCGCCCGTCAGCAGCATCTCGTTACACTTGAGATCGACACTAGTGAACAGCCGAATGTCAGCAGGCACAACGTCGCCTGTGACGAGGATCACGATGTCTCCAGGCACCAGCTGCTTGCTGTCCACCACTTGTTGCATCCCGTCACGGATGACAAGCGACTGCAGACGAGTGAAGATGCAAAGATCTCTCGACATCCAACTGCAGCCGAAAGCTCGAGCGCACTTTCAACACTCTTTCCCCGCAAAGTTACCCCTAAGGACGAGACTTGTTTGTTCAGCTTCTCCTGAGTTTCATGGTCTCGGAGATGGGTGCATTCGCGCTTCAGGGACGATGTAGCAGACCTCTCGTCAGCATGAAAGGCAATTCTGGTTCTTTTGTGCAGTTTCTATAATCACATTTTGTGGACCACATCGTTGAGAAGTCATTTTCCCAGATTATGTGGACCACAGAACGAAGAGTCGCATCTCCCGTGAGTTATCAGAAAAAGGAGCGGCAACAGCGCTTGAGCCATTTGTGACGACGATTATGCAGCGCACCGCCTTACCACCGCGAGCATACCGTCATCTACTGCAGCAACAGCAGACAGCCGGCGAAGAGCGATTGAAGTGCTCAACACTTCTGGTAACACGACCACCGCCGTAAAACTCGTAGCGTGCAGCCTGCTACCTGTCGTTGTACAGACGCAATAGTTGAGCGTCAGCGACGCAAACTTGTGTATCTAGACTCCACGACACAACGCGCACGAGATTACGGCATTCCGTCGTGGTGCCATACGTGTATCACACGAACGCCGCGCTTCAGCAGGCTGCTGTATCTTGTCCTCTGCAAAGTGCAAGGTTGCCTACACATGCGCGAGACGGTGAGAGTGTGACACTAACGTGACACAAGCATGGGGATGCGCGGTGTCTGTTATGTATGTGGACGACCATCTCCTCTCGAAAGCCCTAACTCCGCAACAATGACTCACCAACACACGTCGTTCTCACAGTAGCGGCAGCAACGCCGACAATGTATCTCGTTACAAAGGGAATGCTTGGGGGCACCGGAATCGCCGCCTCCGACTGGGCAGTATTCCGCGACCAGCAGAATATCCTGGCACCGGCAGCTGTCGGCGACAGTACCGACGCGTGAAGCTGCTAGTTGTCGAAACAGGACGCTTGGAGAGAAGCTGGTGCGACAACACTGGCGACAATAACTTGAACGTGACAGCATTGGTCCTGGCAACGCCGGCAGCTTGGGAGAGCGACATCGGGGCTGGACTTGAAAGCGACCGCATTACTCGTAGCAACGCCGACGACATAGAGCTGGTAGCGTTGACACCGATAACACAGACAACATGAACGTACGACTTGAGAGTGGAAGTACTAGTTCCGGTAGAGCCGATGACGCGGTAGAGATGGCGCCAGCAGCGATGGCATGAAATTGGCAGCGCTGGCACCGACAACATCAATCGCTTGGGGGTGGCATTGGGGTCTGTGTCACCGACGACGTGAGCTTGGTACCGTTGATACCGACAGCACCAACAGCCTGGGCGTGGTAGCATAGGTGGCGGCAACGGCAAAGACTTTGAAGCGGCAGCAATGACATCAACAGCCAGGAGCTGCGGTTGTGTTTGCGTACACTCTGGATGGCACTTGGGAAAATGACCGTCCTCGGCTTGGGTCGACACTGATAGAAGGTGTACGAGTCACAACACAGCACCGCCAACACATAATCAGTGGCAGGGATCACATCATCAGTGGCAGGAACTAGTGTGACCTTGAGCAAAGCCTGCAGCTTGGTGCTACCGCAATCACTGCTGTAGACGCAATTGCAACCGCGAACAGCCCCCACGCTAGCCTGCACATTCATAAGGTGGCTTCCAGATGAGGTCGAGGACGAGCATATATGTGGAGGCTCACACAGCTTCCACTCCTTTGAATGGCTTCTCAATGGACCTCATGGTGCCAGAAACGGTGGCTTGATCCATGTTGAGGGCTTATTGCATCCAGGCATCTTGATCAGACTAGCGACAGCTGACGTGGCAGCTCTGGCATGGTAGACGCATTGGCGTCGTGGACTGGAGCCTTGACAGCAACTTGGCCTAGCTCTAGTTGATACACAACTTGGGCGAGCTTGATCCGTGCTCCTGGTTTCAGGAGTCAACCGAGGGAGACTTGAGTGTCGTGTAGCGCTCGTACAGGATCTTGACACAAAACACGCTTGGGGGCGGACTTCGGCTGTGTTGGGGCTAGTCTCAATCTTCAGCCCACAGCTGGGTGGACGAATGGATGACTGTCAATGTTGAAGTCGGTGTATATAAATTGTGTGAGCTTCGAGTTTGCGTCCGCACAGAAGGCGAGACTACCGAGGTGTCAATCTCACAAGATCGAGATATGACTACATGGGCGCCAAATCTCAAGCACGGTAGTGGTAGCATTTCGAGGCGCTTGTTGTCTCCGAGGCAGATTCGCGAATGAGACCGAATAAACAAACGGCGGATGAAGGCGAATGGACGGTGACCAACCACTTTATCCCACCACCGCTCTCCAGCCACCCCATCCGGGTTTCGTGCATGTTCGGGGCTACGCGCTCGTCGATCGTACTCACTTTGACGGATTCACACAATGTCTTTTCGTATGAAGTTTTGAGTTTCACCTTTCGCAGCATATTTTGATAGTAATGACTTGCCATAGTAAACGCAAGCATTACCACCATTATTCACTATAAAAGATGAGGTCCAGCCGATCCCTCTTTTATCTTGGTCTACATTTTTCTTGCTGCTGATCCGTATACTGCCAGTTTGTATTCTCGAAAGAACCCGTCGCAGCGCAATCAACAAACCCGGCCCAAATTGAGCCCTCCGCCCTCCCATAAGTGATAAAGCCCACCTCCGCCCTCGCATAAGTGATAAAGCCCGAATCAGCTATTCAGACTCAGATCCAGCCTGAGCATTTTACATGTAATACTGTAGCATTTTTGTAACCACAGCAATATCGTGAGTACAGTCTCCTAGACAGCAGAGATTTTCTCTGGTAACTCCCTGAGTTACCAAATACACATGTACTTCAGCATCTAGGACGCCTACAATATCTGCATTTAACTGTGTTTCAATAAGCATTCATGTTGATAAATCCATTAACCGCAAAGCTTACTACACTCGGCCTCTGCTCTTGGGGCTCGAGAACGGCAGTTTTTCCTGCCTTAGCGCACGTCGATCCATACGCAATACACACTTTCGTCACCTTCGCTCCCAAGGTGACATAGTCGCCTTTTACTCTCGCTTAAGTCCACGATGAGCTCCACCCGCTTCAAGCCTCTCAACATGATAGCGCACATGCCGGATCTCGAGCAAAATCTCCTCGAACCCGCTCTTCATGTGGTCCCAGCGAGCCTGCGCCCGGTCCTTCCGTCGCAAATAGGCCTTCAGGATCTCACCCCAGAACGCGTTGTTGACTGCAACAGCTCCGACCACAAGCCACTGATACCACGGAATGTACTCGAATCCAAAGATGTCGTCCATGATAACAGGGACGTTGCTCACGAGCACCGTCAAAATCACCGACATACACGCCGCCAACTGCATGTAGCCATTCGACAACATCCGTGCGAACACAGGCTCCGTGAAGTGACGCACCGTGTAGGCTCGCAGCACCTCCGTGAAGGCCAAACCCAAGAACACCATCGTCTGAGCTCGTCCCAGACCCGCTGGGACGCAGTCGTAGTCGCCTCCTTCACAGTAAACAGTCGAGTTCTCATACGACGTCATACCGGCCACTTCCTCGCCGAAAATGTACGAGCCGTCCGAGTACTGAGCAGCACAGTTGCCGTACACTTTCCAGCCATCGTCGATGCCTTCCCATCGACGACACGTCACGTCCGTGAAGTCCGTCCCATCTGGACCGCCGCCAGTATTGTAGATGTCGTCCGTCAGCAACACGCCGAAGTTCCAGTACAGTCCCAAGAGAAAAGTGGTCATAGCTCCAGCGAGAAGCAGGAACGCGTTGAAGAGCACGAGCAGCCACAGTCGACCGTGGATCAGCGAAGTCTGCTTGTGACGTGGTTTGTCTGCCATGATGTGTGGGTCGCCCTTCTCTAAGCTTAGAGCGACAGCAGGCATACCGTCCGTGAACAGGTTGAGCAGCAGAATGTGCAGCGCCTCGAGAGGAAGCGGGAACCCGCCAGCCACCGAGATGAAGATCAGGATGATCTCTCCGATGTTCGTGGACAGCAAGAACATGACAAACTTCTGGATGTTGGCGTAGATGACGCGGCCCTTCTCCACAGCCGTGACGATACTGCAGAAGTTGTCGTCCATCAAGATCATGTCGGACGCTCCCTTGGCCACTTCCGTGCCTGAAATCCCCATGGCCACACCGATATCCGCCTCCTTCAACGCTGGTGCGTCGTTGACACCGTCTCCAGTCATAGCAGCGATGAGTCCTTGACGTTGAAGAGATTTCACGATCTCGATCTTGTCTTCGGGCTTGGCACGAGCGAACACCAACGTGCGTGACGTGATCTCGTCGATGTCAGCGGGGGGCAAGTACACGTCTCCATTCGGACGAAGCTGCGTGCAGTCTGTCGCTTGAGCCTCCGGGTCCGCGCCCACTTGTAGCAAATCAATGTTCTTGGCGATGGCAACAGCCGTAGCGAGGTAGTCGCCAGTGATCATCACCGTACGGATGGAAGCAGCTCGTGCAGTGGCAATGGCATCGCGCACGCCGTCACGTTCCGGGTCGATAGACGCCACCAGTCCGAGAAACACTAACGGCTTGGACAAGGCTTCAAACTTCTCGTCCACATCGTCGCAGTCTTCCCCGAACGGCAATTCGTGCATCGGCTGGATAGCCACAGCAAGAACACGCAGCGCCTGCGACGATAGCGCGTCCACCGCCTCGAGAATCTCCTGACGCTGCACGTTGTTCAACGTCTCGAACGTGCCATCCTTCCGGCAGTACTGGGTGCAGTTGCGTAAAATGTAGTTCGGTGCGCCCTTCACGTTCGCCACCAGCTTGGGCGGCTGGTCACCTGGAAGCGCCAACGTATCGAACATCGCCATGCCATTCACCACAGGTAGGGCGTTCACTGTGACCATCATCTTACGTGATGAGCTGAACGGTACTTCCACTAGCCGAGGGTAGTCTTCCAGCAGACTATCTTCCCAGATCCCTGCCTTAGCGGCTGCAACGACCAAAGGCGCCTCGGACGAGTTGCCAAACGGAAGCCAACGTGGAGTCTCGCCGTCGTCCCCTTCCACTTGCTTGAGTTGCGTGTTACTGCACAGCACCGAGGCCATCAAAGTCGCGCGAACTTGCACATTTCCGGCCTCCGGTTCGCCTTGACTGCTACCGTCCGAAGCGAGGATAGAGCCTTCAGGTGTGAACCCCTTGCCAGTAATTGAATACTCGCGGAAATCGCCCCAGAGCTTCACTGCAGTCATCTTGCCTTCCGTCAATGTACCCGTCTTGTCGGTACAGATGACCGACGCTTCGCCTAGCGTCTCCACTGACGCGAGTTTACGTACAAGCACATTCTTCTTGACCATCTCGGCCGTACCGGACGACAGACAGATAGTCACGACCATCGGTAGACCCTCGGGAACAGCACTCACGGCCACAGACACAGCAGCCATAATCATAGTCAAGTACGTGGGTCTGTCCGGGTGATGAGGGTCTTCATTGCCGCGGATCATACCGACGATAAACACGAGGATGGCCACACCCACCGCGATGAGACCCATGACGTACCCAGTGTGGTGTAGAGCTCGCTGCAGAGGCGTGAGCTTCGGACGGTGCTTGGCGATGCAGTCACCCAGCGGGTTACGGATCCACTTCTTCTCTGCAGACGCATCCGTGCCGCTCTTGGCTTGTAGTAGAGCTGCAATGGAGCCCACACGCGTGTTCATACCAGTCTCCACTACAATACCACGAGCGTTGCCGGCGGTGATCGTCGTGGACGAGAAGACCATGTTACTCGCTGTCAACTTGGCAGGTTTGCCGGCTCCAGCGGGGTGGATCGGAGCGTTGTATTTCTTGGGAACATCCTCCGATTCGCCCGTCAGCAGCATCTCGTTACACTTGAGATCGACACTTGTGAACAGCCGAATGTCAGCAGGCACAACGTCGCCTGTGACGAGGATCACGATGTCTCCAGGCACCAGCTGCTTGCTGTCTACCACTTGTTGCATCCCGTCACGGATGACAAGCGACTGCAGACGAGTGAAGATGCAAAGATCTCTCGACATCCAACTGCAGCCGAAAGCTCGAGCGCACTTTCAACACTCTTTCCCCGCAAAGTTACCCCTAAGGACGAGACTTGTTTGTTCAGCTTCTCCTGAGTTTCATGGTCTCGGAGATGGGTGCATTCGCGCTTCAGGGACGATGTAGCAGACCTCTCGTCAGCATGAAAGGCAATTCTGGTTCTTTTGTGCAATTTCTATAATCACATTTTGTGGACCACATCGTTGAGAAGTCATTTTCCCAGATTATGTGGACCACAGAACGAAGAGTCGCATCTCCCGTGAGTTATCAGAAAAAGGAGCGGCAACAGCGCTTGAGCCATTTGTGACGACGATTATGCAGCGCACCGCCTTACCACCGCGAGCATACCGTCATCTACTGCAGCAACAGCAGACAGCCGGCGAAGAGCGATTGAAGTGCTCAACACTTCTGGTAACACGACCACCGCCGTAAAACTCGTAGCGTGCAGCCTGCTACCTGTCGTTGTACAGACGCAATAGTTGAGCGTCAGCGACGCAAACTTGTGTATCTAGACTCCACGACACAACGCGCACGCAGATTACGGCATTCCGTCGTGGTGCCATACGTGTATCACACGAACGCCGCGCTTCAGCAAGCTGCTGTATCTTGTCCTCTGCAAAGTGCAAGGCTGCCTACACATGCGCGAGACGGTGAGAGTGTGACACTAACGTGACACAAGCATGGCGATGCGCGGTGTCTGTTATGTATGTGGACGACCATCTCCTCTCGAAAGCCCATACTCCGCAACAATGACTCACCAACACACGTCGTTCCCACAGTAGCGGCAGCAACGCCGACCAGTGTATCTCGTTACAAATGGTAGTGCTTGGTGGCAACAGAATCGCCGCCATCGACGTGGGCAGTATTGCGCGACCAGCAGAATATGCATGGCACCGGCAAGCTGTCGGCGACAGTACCGACGACGTGAAGCTGCTAGTTTGTCGAAAACAGCGACGCCTTGGAGTAGAACGCTGGTGCCGACAACACTGGCGACAATAACTTGAACGTGACAGCATTGGTCCTGGCAACGCCGGCAGCTTGGGAGAGCGACATCGGGGCTGGACTTGAAAGCGACCGCATTACTCGTAGCAACGCCGACGACATAGAGCTGGTAGCGTTGACACCGATAACACAGACAACATGAAAGTGGAAGATTTAGTGACGGCAACACCAACGACTTGAGAGTGGAAGTACTAGTGCCGGTAGAGCCGATGACGTGGTAGAGATGGCGCCAGCAGCGATAGCATGAAATTGGCAGCGCTGGCACCGACAACATCAATCGCTTGGGGGTGGCATTGGGGTCTGTGTCACCGACGACGTGAGCTTGGTACCGTTGATACCGACAGCACCAACAGCCTGGGCGTGGTAGCATAGGTGGCGGCAACGGCAAGACTTTGAAGCGGCAGCAATGACATCACCAGCCAGGAGCTGCGGTAATGTTTGCGTACACTCTGGATGGCACTTGGGAAAATGACCGTCCTCGGCTTGGGTCGACACTGATAGAAGGTGTACGAGTCACAACACAGCACCGCCAACACATAATCAGTGGCAGGGATCACATCATCAGTGGCAGGAACAAGTGTGATCTTGAGCAAAGCCTGCAGCTTGGTGCTACCGCAATCACTGCTGTAGACGCAATTGCAACCGCGAACAGCCCCCACGCTAGCCTGCACATTCATAAGGTGGCTTCCAGATGAGGTCGAGGACGAGCATATATGTGGAGGCTCACACAGCTTCCACTCCTTTGAATGGCTTCTCAATGGACCTCATGGTGCCAGAAACGGTGGCTTGATCCATGTTGAGGGCTTGTTGCATCCAGGCATCTTGATCAGACTAGCGACAGCTGACGTGGCAGCTCTGGCATGGTAGACGCATTGGCGTCGTGGACTGGAGCCTTGACAGCAACTTGGCCTAGCTCTAGTTGATACACAACTTGGGCGAGCTTGATCCGTGCTCCTGGTTTCAGGAGTCAACCGAGGGAGACTTGAGTGTCGTGTAGCGCTCGTACAGGATCTTGACACAAAACACGCTTGGGGGCGGACTTCGGCTGTGTTGGGGCTAGTCTCAATCTTCAGCCCACAGCTGGGTGGACGAATGGATGACTGTCAATGTTGAAGTCGGTGTATGTAAATTGTGTGAGCTTCGACGCACAGAAGAAGGCGAGACTACCGAGGTGTCAATCTCACAAGATCGAGATATGACTACATGGGCGCCAAATCTCAAGCACGGTAGTGGTAGCATTTCGAGGTGCTTGTTGTCTCCGAGGCAGATTCGCGAATGAGGCCAAATAAACAAAAGGCGGATGAAGGCGAATGGACGGTGACCAACCACTTATCCACCACCGCTCTGCAGCCACCCCATCCGGGTTTCGTGCATGTCCGGGGCCGTTGTCAGCTACGCGCTCGTCGATCGTACTCACTTTGACGGGCTCACCCCAATGTCTTATCGTTTGAAGTTTGAAGTTTTACCTTTCGCAGTATATTTTGATAGTAATGGCTTGCCATAGTAAACGCAAGCATTACCACCATTATTCACTATATGAGGTCCAGCCGATCCCTCTTTTATCCTGGTCTATTGCTGCTGATCCGTATACTGCCAGTTTGTATTCTCGAAAGAACCCGTTCAGCAAACCCGGCCCAAATTGAGCCCTCCGCCCTCCCATAAGTGATAAAGCCCAGTCCGTACCACCTCCGCCCTCGCATAAGTGATAAAGCCCAAATCAGCTATTCAGACTCAGATCCAGCCTGAGCATTTTACATGTAACATTGTAGCATTTTTGTAGCCAGTGAGTACAGTCTCCTAGACGGCAGAGATTTGTACTTCAGCATCTAGGACGCCTACAATATCTCCATTTAACTGTGTTTCAATAAGCATTCATCAATGAGCATTCATGTTGATAAATTCATTAACCGCAAAGCTAACTACACTCGGCCTCTGCTCTTGGGGCTCGAGAACGAACTCACGCGGCAGTTTTTCCTAGTCTTAGCTGCCTTAACGCACGTCGATCCATACGCAATACACACTTTCGTCACCTTCGCTCCCAAGGTGACATTGTCGCCTTTTACTCACGCTTGAGTCCACGATGAGCTCCACCCGCTTCAAGCCTCTCAACATGATGGCGCACATGCCGGATCTCGAGCAAAATCTCCTCGAACCCGCTCTTCATGTGGTCCCAGCGAGCCTGCGCCCGGTCCTTCCGTCGCAAATAGGCCTTCAGGAATCTCACCCCAGAACGCGTTGTGACTGCAACAGCTCCGACCACAAGCCACTGATACCACGGAATGTACTCGAATCCAAAGATGTCGTCCATGATAACAGGGACGTTGCTCACGAGCACCGTCAAAATCACCGACATACACGCCGCCAACTGCATGTAGCCATTCGACAACATCCGTGCGAACACAGGCTCCGTGAAGTGACGCACCGTGTAGGCTCGCAGCACCTCCGTGAAGGCCAAACCCAAGAACACCATCGTCTGAGCTCGTCCCAGACCCGCTGGGACGCAGTCGTAGTCGCCTCCTTCACAGTAAACAGTTGAGTTCTCGAACGACGTCATACCGGCCACTTCCTCGCCGAAAATGTACGAGCCGTCCGAGTACTGAGCAGCACAGTTGCCGTACACTTTCCAGCCATCGTCGATGCCTTCCCATCGACGACACGTCACGTCCGTGAAGTCCGTCCCATCTGGACCGCCGCCAGTATTGTAGATGTCGTCCGTCAGCAACACGCCGAAGTTCCAGTACAGTCCCAAGAGAAAAGTGGTCATAGCTCCAGCGAGAAGCAGGAACGCGTTGAAGAGCACGAGCAGCCACAGTCGACCGTGGATCAGCGAAGTCTGCTTGTGACGTGGTTTGTCTGCCATGATGTGTGGGTCGCCCTTCTCTAAGCTTAGAGCGACAGCAGGCATACCGTCCGTGAACAGGTTGAGCAGCAGAATGTGCAGCGCCTCGAGAGGAAGCGGGAACCCGCCAGCCACCGAGATGAAGATCAGGATGATCTCTCCGATGTTCGTGGACAGCAAGAACATGACAAACTTCTGGATGTTGGCGTAGATGACGCGGCCCTTCTCCACAGCCGTGACGATACTGCAGAAGTTGTCGTCCATCAAGATCATGTCGGACGCTCCCTTGGCCACTTCCGTGCCTGAAATCCCCATGGCCACACCGATATCCGCCTCCTTCAACGCTGGTGCGTCGTTGACACCATCTCCAGTCATAGCAGCGATGAGTCCTTGACGTTGAAGAGATTTCACGATCTCGATCTTGTCTTCGGGCTTGGCACGAGCGAACACCAACGTGCGTGACGTGATCTCGTCGATGTCAGCGGGGGGCAAGTACACGTCTCCATTCGGACGAAGCTGCGTGCAGTCTGTCGCTTGAGCCTCCGGGTCCGCGCCCACTTGTAGCAAATCAATGTTCTTGGCGATGGCAACAGCCGTAGCGAGGTAGTCGCCAGTGATCATCACCGTACGGATGGAAGCAGCTCGTGCAGTGGCAATGGCATCGCGCACGCCGTCACGTTCCGGGTCGATAGACGCCACCAGTCCGAGAAACACTAACGGCTTGGACAAGGCTTCAAACTTCTCGTCCACATCGTCGCAGTCTTCCCCGAACGGCAATTCGTGCATCGGCTGGATAGCCACAGCAAGAACACGCAGCGCCTGCGACGATAGCGCGTCCACCGCCTCGAGAATCTCCTGACGCTGTACGTTGTTCAACGTCTCGAACGTGCCATCCTTCCGGCAGTACTGGGTGCAGTTGCGTAGAATGTAGTTCGGTGCGCCCTTCACGTTCGCCACCAGCTTGGGCGGCTGGTCACCTGGAAGCGCCAACGTATCGAACATCGCCATGCCATTCACCACAGGTAGGGCGTTCACTGTGACCATCATCTTACGTGATGAGCTGAACGGTACTTCCACTAGCCGAGGGTAGTCTTCCAGCAGACTATCTTCCCAGATGCCTGCCTTGGCGGCTGCAACGACCAAAGGCGCTTCGGACGAGTTGCCAAACGGAAGCCAACGTGGAGTCTCGCCGTCGTCCCCTTCCACTTGCTTGAGTTGCGTGTTACTGCACAGCACCGAGGCCATCAAAGTCGCGCGAACTTGCACATTGCCGGCCTCCGGTTCGCCTTGACTGCTACCGTCCGAAGCGAGGATAGAGCCTTCAGGTGTGAACCCCTTGCCAGTGATTGAATACTCGCGGAAATCGCCCCAGAGCTTCACTGCAGTCATCTTGCCTTCCGTCAATGTACCCGTCTTGTCGGTACAGATGACTGACGCTTCGCCTAGCGTCTCCACTGACGCGAGTTTACGTACAAGCACATTCTTCTTGACCATCTCGGCCGTACCGGACGACAGACAGATAGTCACGACCATCGGTAGACCCTCGGGAACAGCACTCACGGCCACAGACACAGCAGCCATAATCATAGTCAAGTACGTGGGTCTGTCCGGGTGACGAGGATCTTCATTGCCGCGGATCATACCGACGATAAACACGAGGATGGCCACACCCACCGCGATGAGACCCATGACGTACCCAGTGTGGTGTAGAGCTCGCTGCAGAGGCGTGAGCTTCGGACGGTGCTTGGCGATGCAGTCACCAAGAGGGTTACGGATCCACTTCTTCTCTGCTGATGCATCCGTGCCGCTCTTGGCTTGTAGTAGAGCTGCAATGGAGCCCACCCGCGTGTTCATACCAGTCTCCACTACAATACCACGAGCGTTGCCGGCGGTGATCGTCGTGGACGAGAAGACCATGTTACTCGCTGTCAACTTGGCAGGTTTGCCGGCTCCAGCGGGGTGGATCGGAGCGTTGTATTTCTTGGGGACATCCTCCGAGTCGCCCGTGAGCAGCATCTCGTTACACTTGAGATCGACACTAGTGAACAGCCGAATGTCAGCAGGCACACCGTCGCCTGTGACGAGGATCTGTCCACCACTTGTTGCATCCCGTCACGGATGACAAGCGACTGCAGACGAGTGAAGATGCAAAGATCTCTCGACATCCAACTGCAGCCGAAAGCTCGAGCGCACTTTCAACACTCTTTCCCCGCCAAGGACGAGACTTGTTTGGTCAGCTTCTCCTGAGTTTCATGGTCTCGGAGATGGGGGCATTCGCGCTTCAGGGACGATTCCAGCTCGTCACAATGAGCATGGAAGGTAATTCTGGTTCTTTTGTGCAGTTTCTATAATCACATTTTGTGGACCACATCGTTGAGAAGTCATTTTCCCAGATTATGTGGACCACAGAACGAAGAGTCGCATCTCCCGTGAGTTATCAGAAAAAGGAGCGGCAACAGCGCTTGAGCCATTTGTGACGACGATTATGCAGCGCACCGCCTTACCACCGCGAGCGTACCGTCATATACTGCAGCAACAGCAGACAGTCGGCGAAGAGCGATTGAAGTGCTCAACACTTCTGGTAACACGACAACCGCCGCAAAACTCGTAGCGTGCAGCCTGCTACCTGCCGTTGTACAGACGCAATAGTTGAGCGTCAGCGACGCAAACTTGTGTATCTAGACTCCACGACACAACGCGCACGCAGATTACGGCATTCCGTCGTGGTGCCATACGTGTATCACACGAACGCCGCGCTTCAGCAAGCTGCTGTATCTTGTCCTCTGCAAAGTGCAAGGCTGCCTACACATGCGCGAGACGGTGAGAGTGTGACACTAACGTGACACAAGCATGGCGATGCGCGGTGTCTGTTTTGTATGTGGACGACCATCTCCTCTCGAAAGCCCATACTCCGCAACAATGACTCACCAACACACGTCGTTCCCACAGTAGCGACAGCAATGCCGACCAGTGTATCTCGTTACAAATGGTAGTGCTTGGTGGCAACAGAATCGCCGCCATCGACGTGGGCAGTATTGCGCGACCAGCAGAATATGCATGGCACCGGCAAGCTGTCGGCGACAGTACCGACGACGTTGAAGCTGCTAGTTTGTCGAAAACAGCGACGCGTTGGAGTAGAACGCTGGTGCCGACAACACTGGCGACAATAACTTGAACGTGACAGCATTGGTCCTGGCAACGCCGGCAGCTTGGGAGAGCGACATCGGGGCTGGACTTGAAAGCGACCGCATTACTCGTAGCAACGCCGACGACATAGAGCTGGTAGCGTTGACACCGATAACACAGACAACATGAACGTACGACTTGAGAGTGGAAGTACTAGTGCCGGTAGAGCCGATGACGCGGTAGAGATGGCGCCAGCAGCGATGGCATGAAATTGGCAGCGCTGGCACCGACAACATCAATCGCTTGGGGGTGGCATTGGGGTCTGTGTCACCGACGACGTGAGCTTGGTACCGTTGATACCGACAGCACCAACAGCCTGGGCGTGGTAGCATAGGTGGCGGCAACGGCAAAGACTTTGAAGCGGCAGCAATGACATCAACAGCCAGGAGCTGCGGTAATGTTTGCGTACACTCTGGATGGCACTTGGGAAAATGACCGTCCTCGGCTTGGGTCGACACTGATAGAAGGTGTACGAGTCACAACACAGCACCGCCAACACATAATCAGTGGCAGGGATCACATCATCAGTGGCAGGAACTAGTGTGATCTTGAGCAAAGCCTGCAGCTTGGTGCTACCGCAATCACTGCTGTAGACGCAATTGCAACCGCGAACAGCCCCCACGCTAGCCTGCACATTCATAAGGTGGCTTCCAGATGAGGTCGAGGACGAGCATATATGTGGAGGCTCACACAGCTTCCACTCCTTTGAATGGCTTCTCAATGGACCTCATGGTGCCAGAAACGGTGGCTTGATCCATGTTGAGGGCTTGTTGCATCCAGGCATCTTGATCAGACTAGCGACAGCTGACGTGGCAGCTCTGGCATGGTAGACGCATTGGCGTCGTGGACTGGAGCCTTGACAGCAACTTGGCCTAGCTCTAGTTGATACACAACTTGAGCGAGCTTGATCCGTGCTCCTGGTTTCAGGAGTCAACCGAGGGAGACTTGAGTGTCGTGTAGCGCTCGTACAGGATCTTGACACAAAACACGCTTGGGGGCGGACTTCGGCTGTGTTGGGGCTAGTCTCAATCTTCAGCCCACAGCTGGGTGGACGAATGGATGACTGTCAATGTTGAAGTCGGTGTATATAAATTGTGTGAGCTTCGATTTGCGGTCCGCACAGAAGGCGAGACTACCGAGGTGTCAATCTCACAAGATCGAGATATGACTACATGGGCGCCAAATCTCAAGCACGGTAGTGGTAGCATTTCGAGGCGCTTGTTGTCTCCGAGGAAGATTCGCGAATGAGGCCGAATAAACAAACGGCGGATGAAGGCGAATGGACGGTGACCAACCACTTATCCACCACCGCTCTGCAGCCACCCCATCCGGGTTTCGTGCATGTCCGGGGCCGTTGTCAGCTACGCGCTCGTCGATCGTACTCACTTTGACGGGCTCACCCCAATGTCTTATCGTTTGAAGTTTGAAGTTTTACCTTTCGCAGTATATTTTGATAGTAATGGCTTGCCATAGTAAACGCAAGCATTACCACCATTATTCACTATATGAGGTCCAGCCGATCCCTCTTTTATCCTGGTCTATTGCTGCTGATCCGTATACTGCCAGTTTGTATTCTCGAAAGAACCCGTTCAGCAAACCCGGCCCAAATTGAGCCCTCCGCCCTCCCATAAGTGATAAAGCCCAGTCCGTACCACCTCCGCCCTCGCATAAGTGATAAAGCCCAAATCAGCTATTCAGACTCAGATCCAGCCTGAGCATTTTACATGTAACATTGTAGCATTTTTGTAGCCAGTGAGTACAGTCTCCTAGACGGCAGAGATTTGTACTTCAGCATCTAGGACGCCTACAATATCTCCATTTAACTGTGTTTCAATAAGCATTCATCAATGAGCATTCATGTTGATAAATCCATTAACCGCAAAGCTAACTACACTCGGCCTCTGCTCTTGGGGCTCGAGAACGAACTCACGCGGCAGTTTTTCCTAGTCTTAGCTGCCTTAGCGCACGTCGATCCATACGCAATACACACTTTCGTCACCTTCGCTCCCAAGGTGACATAGTCGCCTTTTACTCTCGCTTAAGTCCACGATGAGCTCCACCCGCTTCAAGCCTCTCAACATGATGACGCACATGCCGAATCTCGAGCAAAATCTCCTCGAACCCGCTCTTCATGTGGTCCCAGCGAGCCTGCGCCCGGTCCTTCCGTCGCAAATAGGCCTTCAGAATCTCACCCCAGAACGCGTTGTTGACTGCAACAGCTCCGACCACAAGCCACTGATACCACGGAATGTACTCGAATCCAAAGATGTCGTCCATGATAACAGGGACGTTGCTCACGAGCACCGTCAAAATCACCGACATACACGCCGCCAACTGCATGTAGCCATTCGACAACATCCGTGCAAACACAGGCTCCGTGAAGTGACGCACCGTGTAAGCTCGCAGCACCTCCGTGAAGGCCAAACCCAAGAACACCATCGTCTGAGCTCGTCCCAGACCCGCTGGGACGCAGTCGTAGTCGCCTCCTTCACAGTAAACAGTTGAGTTCTTGAACGACGTCATACCGGCCACTTCCTCGCCGAAAATGTACGAGCCGTCCGAGTACTGAGCAGCACAGTTGCCGTACACTTTCCAGCCATCGTCGATGCCTTCCCATCGACGACACGTCACGTCCGTGAAGTCCGTCCCATCTGGACCGCCGCCAGTATTGTAGATGTCGTCCGTCAGCAACACGCCGAATTCCAGTACAGTCCCAAGAGGAACGTGGTCATAGCTCCAGCGAGAAGCAGGAACGCGTTGAAGAGCACGAGCAGCCACAGTCGACCGTGGATCAGCGAAGTCTGCTTGTGACGTGGTTTGTCTGCCATGATGTGTGGGTCGCCCTTCTCCAAGCTTAGCGCGACAGCAGGCATACCGTCCGTGAACAGGTTGAGCAGCAGAATGTGCAGCGCCTCGAGAGGAAGCGGGAACCCGCCAGCCACCGAGATGAAGATCAGGATGATCTCTCCGATGTTCGTGGACAGCAAGAACATGACAAACTTCTGGATGTTGGCGTAGATGACGCGGCCCTTCTCCACAGCCGTGACGATACTGCAGAAGTTGTCGTCCATCAAGATCATGTCGGACGCTCCCTTGGCCACTTCCGTGCCTGAAATCCCCATGGCCACACCGATATCCGCCTCCTTCAACGCTGGTGCGTCGTTGACACCATCTCCAGTCATAGCAGCGATGAGTCCTTGACGTTGAAGAGATTTCACGATCTCGATCTTGTCTTCGGGCTTGGCACGAGCGAACACCAACGTGCGTGACGTGATCTCGTCGATGTCAGCGGGGGGCAAGTACACGTCTCCATTCGGACGAAGCTGCGTGCAGTCTGTCGCTTGAGCCTCCGGGTCCGCGCCCACTTGTAGCAAATCAATGTTCTTGGCGATAGCAACAGCCGTAGCGAGGTAGTCGCCAGTGATCATCACCGTACGGATGGAAGCAGCTCGTGCAGTGGCAATGGCATCGCGCACGCCGTCACGTTCCGGGTCGATAGACGCCACCAGTCCGAGGAACACCAACGGCTTGGACAAGGCTTCAAACTTCTCGTCCACATCGTCGCAGTCTTCCCCGAACGGCAATTCGTGCATCGGCTGGATAGCCACAGCAAGAACACGCAGCGCCTGCGACGATAGCGCGTCCACCGCCTCGAGAATCTCCTGACGCTGCACGTTGTTCAACGTCTCGAACGTGCCATCCTTCCGGCCGTACTGGGTGCAGTTGCGTAAAATGTAGTTCGGTGCGCCCTTCACGTTCGCCACCAGCTTGGGCGGCTGGTCACCTGGAAGCGCCAACGTATCGAACATCGCCATGCCATTCACCACAGGTAGGGCGTTCACTGTGACCATCATCTTACGTGATGAGCTGAACGGTACTTCCACTAGCCGAGGGTAGTCTTCCAGCAGACTATCTTCCCAGATGCCTGCCTTGGCGGCTGCAACGACCAAAGGCGCTTCGGACGAGTTGCCAAACGGAAGCCAACGTGGAGTCTCGCCGTCGTCCCCTTCCACTTGCTTGAGTTGCGTGTTACTGCACAGCACCGAGGCCATCAAAGTCGCGCGAACTTGCACATTGCCGGCCTCCGGTTCGCCTTGACTGCTACCGTCCGAAGCGAGGATAGAGCCTTCAGGTGTGAACCCCTTGCCAGTGATTAAATACTCGCGGAAATCGCCCCAGAGCTTCACTGCAGTCATCTTGCCTTCCGTCAATGTACCCGTCTTGTCGGTACAGATGACTGACGCTGCGCCTAGCGTCTCCACTGACGCGAGTTTACGTACAAGCACATTCTTCTTGACCATCTCGGCCGTACCGGACGACAGACAGATAGTCACGACCATCGGTAGACCCTCGGGAACAGCACTCACGGCCACAGACACAGCAGCCATAATCATAGTCAAGTACGTGGGTCTGTCCGGGTGACGAGGATCTTCATTGCCGCGGATCATACCGACGATAAACACGAGGATGGCCACACCCACCGCGATGAGACCCATGACGTACCCAGTGTGGTGTAGAGCTCGCTGCAGAGGCGTGAGCTTCGGACGGTGCTTGGCGATGCAGTCACCAAGAGGGTTACGGATCCACTTCTTCTCTGCTGATGCATCCGTGCCGCTCTTGGCTTGTAGTAGAGCTGCAATGGAGCCCACCCGCGTGTTCATACCAGTCTCCACTACAATACCACGAGCGTTGCCGGCGGTGATCGTCGTGGACGAGAAGACCATGTTACTCGCTGTCAACTTGGCAGGTTTGCCGGCTCCAGCGGGGTGGATCGGAGCGTTGTATTTCTTGGGGACATCCTCCGAGTCGCCCGTGAGCAGCATCTCGTTACACTTGAGATCGACACTAGTGAACAGCCGAATGTCAGCACGCACACCGTCGCCTGTGACGAGGATCTGTCCACCACTTGTTGCATCCCGTCACCGATGACAAGCGACTGCAGACGAGTGAAGATGCAAAGATCTCTCGACATCCAACTGCAGCCGAAAGCTCGAGCGCACTTTCAACACTCTTTCCCCGCCAAGGACGAGACTTGTTTGGTCAGCTTCTCCTGAGTTTCATGGTCTCGGAGATGGGGGCATTCGCGCTTCAGGGACGATGTAACAGACCTCTCGTCAGCATGGAAAGGGTAAATTCTGGTTCTTTTGTGCAATTTCGATAATCACATTATGTGGACCACATCGCTGAGAAGTCATTTTCCCAGATTATGTGGACCACAGAACGAAGAGTCGCATCTCCCGTGAGTTATCAGAAAAAGGAGCGGCAACAGCGCTTGAGCCATTTGTGACGACGATTATGCAGCGCACCGCCTTACCACCGCGAGCGTACCGTCATATACTGCAGCAACAGCAGACAGTCGGCGAAGAGCGATTGAAGTGCTCAACACTTCTGGTAACACGACAACCGCCGCAAAACTCGTAGCGTGCAGCCTGCTACCTGCCGTTGTACAGACGCAATAGTTGAGCGTCAGCGACGCAAACTTGTGTATCTAGACTCCACGACACAACGCGCACGCGGATTACGGCATTCCGTCGTGGGGCCATACGTGTATCACACGAACGCCGCACTTCAGCAAGCTGCTGTATCTTGTCCTCTGCAAAGTGCAAGGCTGCCTACACATGCGCGAGACGGTGAGAGTGTGACACTAACGTGACACAAGCATGGCGATGCGCGGTGTCTGTTTTGTATGTGGACGACCATCTCCTCTCGAAAGCCCATACTCCGCAACAATGACTCACCAACACACGTCGTTCCCACAGTAGCGACAGCAATGCCGACCAGTGTATCTCGTTACAAATGGTAGTGCTTGGTGGCAACAGAATCGCCGCCATCGACGTGGGCAGTATTGCGCGACCAGCAGAATATGCATGGCACCGGCAAGCTGTCGGCGACAGTACCGACGACGTTGAAGCTGCTAGTTTGTCGAAAACAGCGACGCGTTGGAGTAGAACGCTGGTGCCGACAACACTGGCGACAATAACTTGAACGTGACAGCATTGGTCCTGGCAACGCCGGCAGCTTGGGAGAGCGACATCGGGGCTGGACTTGAAAGCGACCGCATTACTCGTAGCAACGCCGACGACATAGAGCTGGTAGCGTTGACACCGATAACACAGACAACATGAACGTACGACTTGAGAGTGGAAGTACTAGTGCCGGTAGAGCCGATGACGCGGTAGAGATGGCGCCAGCAGCGATGGCATGAAATTGGCAGCGCTGGCACCGACAACATCAATCGCTTGGGGGTGGCATTGGGGTCTGTGTCACCGACGACGTGAGCTTGGTACCGTTGATACCGACAGCACCAACAGCCTGGGCGTGGTAGCATAGGTGGCGGCAACGGCAAAGACTTTGAAGCGGCAGCAATGACATCAACAGCCAGGAGCTGCGGTAATGTTGCGTACACTCTGGATGGCACTTGGGAAAATGACCGTCCTCGGCTTGGGTCGACACTGATAGAAGGTGTACGAGTCACAACACAGCACCGCCAACACATAATCAGTGGCAGGGATCACATCATCAGTGGCAGGAACAAGTGTGATCTTGAGCAAAGCCTGCAGCTTGGTGCTACCGCAATCACTGCTGTAGACGCAATTGCAACCGCGAACAGCCCCCACGCTAGCCTGCACATTCATAAGGTGGCTTCCAGATGAGGTCGAGGACGAGCATATATGTGGAGGCTCACACAGCTTCCACTCCTTTGAATGGCTTCTCAATGGACCTCATGGTGCCAGAAACGGTGGCTTGATCCATGTTGAGGGCTTGTTGCATCCAGGCATCTTGATCAGACTAGCGACAGCTGACGTGGCAGCTCTGGCATGGTAGACGCATTGGCGTCGTGGACTGGAGCCTTGACAGCAACTTGGCCTAGCTCTAGTTGATACACAACTTGAGCGAGCTTGATCCGTGCTCCTGGTTTCAGGAGTCAACCGAGGGAGACTTGAGTGTCGTGTAGCGCTTCGTGCAGGATCTTGACACAAAACCACGCTTGGGGGCGGACTTCGGCTGTGTTGGGGGCTAGTCCCAATCTTCAGCCCACAGCTGGGTGGACGAATGGACGACTGCCAATGCTGAAGTCGGTGTATGTAAATTAAGTGAGCTTCGACGCACAGAAGTAGGCGAGACTACCGAGGTGTCAATCTCACAAGATCGAGATATGACTACATGGGCGCCAAATCTCAAGCACGGTAGTGGTAGCATTTCGAGGCGCTTGTTGTCTCCGAGGCAGATTCGCGAATGAGGCCGAATAAACAAACGGCGGATGAAGGCGAATGGACGGTGACCAACCACTTATCCACCACCGCTCTGCAGCCACCCCATCCGGGTTTCGTGCATGTTCGGGGCTACGCGCTCGTCGATCGTACTCACTTTGACGGATTCACACAATGTCTTTTCGTATGAAGTTTTGAGTTTCACCTTTCGCAGCATATTTTGATAGTAATGACTTGCCATAGTAAACGCAAGCATTACCACCATTATTCACTATAAAAGATGAGGTCCAGCCGATCCCTCTTTTATCTTGGTCTACATTTTTCTTGCTGCTGATCCGTATACTGCCAGTTTGTATTCTCGAAAGAACCCGTCGCAGCGCAATCAACAAACCCGGCCCAAATTGAGCCCTCCGCCCTCCCATAAGTGATAAAGCCCACCTCCGCCCTCGCATAAGTGATAAAGCCCGAATCAGCTATTCAGACTCAGATCCAGCCTGAGCATTTTACATGTAATACTGTAGCATTTTTGTAACCACAGCAATATCGTGAGTACAGTCTCCTAGACAGCAGAGATTTTCTCTGGTAACTCCCTGAGTTACCAAATACACATGTACTTCAGCATCTAGGACGCCTACAATATCTGCATTTAACTGTGTTTCAATAAGCATTCATGTTGATAAATCCATTAACCGCAAAGCTTACTACACTCGGCCTCTGCTCTTGGGGCTCGAGAACGGCAGTTTTTCCTGCCTTAGCGCACGTCGATCCATACGCAATACACACTTTCGTCACCTTCGCTCCCAAGGTGACATAGTCGCCTTTTACTCTCGCTTAAGTCCACGATGAGCTCCACCCGCTTCAAGCCTCTCAACATGATGACGCACATGCCGAATCTCGAGCAAAATCTCCTCGAACCCGCTCTTCATGTGGTCCCAGCGAGCCTGCGCCCGGTCCTTCCGTCGCAAATAGGCCTTCAGAATCTCACCCCAGAACGCGTTGTTGACTGCAACAGCTCCGACCACAAGCCACTGATACCACGGAATGTACTCGAATCCAAAGATGTCGTCCATGATAACAGGGACGTTGCTCACGAGCACCGTCAAAATCACCGACATACACGCCGCCAACTGCATGTAGCCATTCGACAACATCCGTGCAAACACAGGCTCCGTGAAGTGACGCACCGTGTAAGCTCGCAGCACCTCCGTGAAGGCCAAACCCAAGAACACCATCGTCTGAGCTCGTCCCAGACCCGCTGGGACGCAGTCGTAGTCGCCTCCTTCACAGTAAACAGTTGAGTTCTCGAACGACGTCATACCGGCCACTTCCTCGCCGAAAATGTACGAGCCGTCCGAGTACTGAGCAGCACAGTTGCCGTACACTTTCCAGCCATCGTCGATGCCTTCCCATCGACGACACGTCACGTCCGTGAAGTCCGTCCCATCTGGACCGCCGCCAGTATTGTAGATGTCGTCCGTCAGCAACACGCCGAAGTTCCAGTACAGTCCCAAGAGGAACGTGGTCATAGCTCCAGCGAGAAGCAGGAACGCGTTGAAGAGCACGAGCAGCCACAGTCGACCGTGGATCAGCGAAGTCTGCTTGTGACGTGGTTTGTCTGCCATGATGTGTGGGTCGCCCTTCTCTAAGCTTAGCGCGACAGCAGGCATACCGTCCGTGAACAGGTTGAGCAGCAGAATGTGCAGCGCCTCGAGAGGAAGCGGGAACCCGCCAGCCACCGAGATGAAGATCAGGATGATCTCTCCGATGTTCGTGGACAGCAAGAACATGACAAACTTCTGGATGTTGGCGTAGATGACGCGGCCCTTCTCCACAGCCGTGACGATACTGCAGAAGTTGTCGTCCATCAAGATCATGTCGGACGCTCCCTTGGCCACTTCCGTGCCTGAAATCCCCATGGCCACACCGATATCCGCCTCCTTCAACGCTGGTGCGTCGTTGACACCATCTCCAGTCATAGCAGCGATGAGTCCTTGACGTTGAAGAGATTTCACGATCTCGATCTTGTCTTCGGGCTTGGCACGAGCGAACACCAACGTGCGTGACGTGATCTCGTCGATGTCAGCGGGGGGCAAGTACACGTCTCCATTCGGACGAAGCTGCGTGCAGTCTGTCGCTTGAGCCTCCGGGTCCGCGCCCACTTGTAGCAAATCAATGTTCTTGGCGATGGCAACAGCCGTAGCGAGGTAGTCGCCAGTGATCATCACCGTACGGATGGAAGCAGCTCGTGCAGTGGCAATGGCATCGCGCACGCCGTCACGTTCCGGGTCGATAGACGCCACCAGTCCGAGAAACACTAACGGCTTGGACAAGGCTTCAAACTTCTCGTCCACATCGTCGCAGTCTTCCCCGAACGGCAATTCGTGCATCGGCTGGATAGCCACAGCAAGAACACGCAGCGCCTGCGACGATAGCGCGTCCACCGCCTCGAGAATCTCCTGACGCTGCACATTGTTCAACGTCTCAAACGTGCCATCCTTCCGGCAGTACTGGGTGCAGTTGCGTAGAATGTAGTTCGGTGCGCCCTTCACGTTCGCCACCAGCTTGGGCGGCTGGTCACCTGGAAGCGCCAACGTATCGAACATCGCCATGCCATTCACCACAGGTAGGGCGTTCACTGTGACCATCATCTTACGTGATGAGCTGAACGGTACTTCCACTAGCCGAGGGTAGTCTTCCAGCAGACTATCTTCCCAGATGCCTGCCTTAGCGGCTGCAACGACCAAAGGCGCCTCGGACGAGTTGCCAAACGGAAGCCAACGTGGAGTCTCGCCGTCGTCCCCTTCCACTTGCTTGAGTTGCGTGTTACTGCACAGCACCGAGGCCATCAAAGTCGCGCGAACTTGCACATTGCCGGCCTCCGGTTCGCCTTGACTGCTACCGTCCGAAGCGAGGATAGAGCCTTCAGGTGTGAACCCCTTGCCAGTAATTGAATACTCGCGGAAATCGCCCCAGAGCTTCACTGCAGTCATCTTGCCTTCCGTCAATGTACCCGTCTTGTCGGTACAGATGACCGACGCTTCGCCTAGCGTCTCCACTGACGCGAGTTTACGTACAAGCACATTCTTCTTGACCATCTCGGCCGTACCGGACGACAGACAGATA